TTTTTAATAAAAAATCTGAATATTATTTGACGTGTTACAAATCCATTTTTCTTTTACATCATATAAAGAGTTCATCGACGACCAGTAAACTAAGTCTAAGTTCCAGTAAATTGAAAAAAATAAGACTTCATTTTAATCAAGATACTTGGGATTCATTTGAACTAGAATAATTTCACCCAATAAATAAATAAATGATTATATAAAAAATATATAATCATTAAATTTATTATATAATTTAACTTATATAAAAAAAAAGTTTAGTTTTCACGTTTTCTTAAAATGTTTCCCAAAAAATATAAAAAATTAAATTGTCAAAGTAATTCTAGTTCAGATGATAAAGGAATGTATATTTTATGAGTCCTCAAATTTGAAGCTAATTGGTTCAGTTTTATTTTAATCGTGATCGCCAGTTCCTAAAAAGTCGTATCAGGAAAATTGCGTCAAAATTTACATTGATATTTTATGCAGATAACGAAAGAATTTTGTAACATTTATTTCGTAATTCCGACAATTCCGGGACCATAAAGTGGACAAGAATGTAGCAAGAAAAATGTGGGGAAAAAAGGACACTGCAAATAATAAGAGAGTTCTTCTTTATTAGCGGCGTCAATGACTACGCTCAGGTAGCGCGTTATAGCTGTACAAATTAACTGTTATAATTTTGTTGATATTTTGAATTTTTGTATAAAATTTTACAAAGATATTTTACAGACTATAAGAATTGAAGAAATGTAAAAAAAAAATCAATTTTTTTACTTGACAAAATAGATAAATACTTTTTCCTCTTTCGCAGATTCGTAAATTCTTTTTCAGAGTTAAAGTATACGCATTAATATGTGTTTGTAAGGTGGAGTTTTTGCCGAGAACCAAAAATTTCGAAATTGATATATTTTTTGTCATTTCTTAGTGTAATGTCATTTCATAGTGTCTCAAGACAACATTTGCTTGACGCGAAAATTTTGCAACTTATGAAATAGTGATCCACAAACATGTAGTTTACACGAACAAATAATGTAAAATTAGAATTAGACTTAGATGCTTTATCGCGGCAAATAAAAGAAATTGACACAAACGTGCCACTGCGTGTATCATAGGTTGCGTAAGATAGTATATAAAGACATATTGATTCACTGGAAAAATAGAGACCTCTGATGACTTCGTTGGAATTGAAGTTTCACTTTAGAATCCTCTTAATGCCCATTTTCAATAAATAATTTATGTCTAAAGTAAGCATTATTTTTTTTTCTTTGGTGATTTAAAGAAAAGTTGAACTTTAACATTCCGCTTCCACGGAATGTTAGAGTTCAACTTTTCGAATTCAACTTCCGAAATAATATTTTTTAATAAAATTAGTTACTTACAAATTTTAATGTGTTATTCAAATTAAGATTGTTATTAAGATTGTTCTAAGATGCGTAATAACAGCGAATTGTTAAATTGATAATCAATTTAACTTTTAATATTACTGCAATAGTTCAATAGAGTTTGTACTTCAAGACTGAAAAATTATTTCAGCGTGCAGTTTAAAGGACTATACATAAACGTAGTATTCTAAAAATGTCAGATAGAATCATATTTTACATCTTTAAACGTTTTACTTTGTCTTAGCAAGCTATTTAATAAATAATGATAAATTTTTTGCATATGAGCAGAATGGATTAAACTGGTCCGAGAATGCCAACTGCTAAAGTGCTAAATAACGCTAAATAACGCATTCGTACAGATATGGATAGAAACATAAATTGTGGATAGAATATACCCATAACATTTGCTCAAACGCAAATAGAAACCGATAAGTCATACATTCGGAAATACAATCACAATCCAGAAAATTTAAAAGCCTGCAATTGTAGATAAATTATGTGCACGACAATACATAGAGAAATGTATAACGAATATCCGCTGTGCGACAGTTTCACGCACATATATCGGCTGTTTGTAAATGCGTATAAATTACGATAGCGCAAATTTGTATAGATACGGATAGAAAATATTCGTAAACTGCGACTATTCCAATATCTGATAATGACCACGCAACGCAAACAGATATATCCTATATTCGCAAATAGGAATGTGTACCAGTATTCGTATTTGCAAATAGAACCAGATTAATTTTTTATAATAAAATACAGGTTATTAAATGTTACGTGTAAGTGCCTGTAAATGTATGCAAATGGAACATTAAATGTTGCGTGTAAGAGCATAAATTTTGCATTCGCAAATGCATGGAAAAGCACATATATCCGATTGATTATGATAAATTCGAAAAAATTATCGGTTAGCATTCGCAGATATATTCAATTTACAATTGATACCGATAGAAACGTGTAAGATTTTGTAGTAGAAATTTTTTGATGCGGATACATCCAAATATATACCAATAATTTTTCATAAATTTGGATAAATCTCATATATAGATTTATCGGTTTCTATTGAAAATTTCCGGCAGGGATAACTTCATTAAAATAAAATTTGACAACATCCAATTTTACAAATATTTTTTTGTAACGACTACATGTATGATCTAATAAATATTCTACTAAACAGATTTTACACTAATTGTAAGAGTAAAAAGTTCATGATAGAACCAAACACATGCGCTTATCAGTTTAGTAGAAATCCCTATCAAATTAGAAGCCTATATCATAATGACCTACCTACAGAATTTCATCAATTTCAAATTTGAATAACTTTTGTCTGGAACTGTAACCAAGACATCCTTAAAAGCATCTATGAATTAACGTCTAATCAAGACACCATGCAATAGAGAAACGTTATTTTCTATCGAAATAAACATTTGCGATTTTGCTTTCCCTTCTTAGTTGTTTAAAGATTCTCTCATTCAACATGAAGTTTAAAACAATATTGCTACAACGTTTGCAATGTTATTGTAACATTGATGAAACATTGTAATGATGCTGCAATATGACTGGAACAATCTGTGGTGTAAATTGAGTAAGCTACTTCTCGGTATTGATGTACATATATTTAACCAACTTTTGTCAGTGAATATTCTTTATTTAGTCAGTAATCATTCTTTATTTATGTTCCCCTTTGGGATTACAAGAACTTTTCATTTCCTACACTTACTCTTTAAACGTTTTACTTTGTACAAGCTATTTAATAAATAATGATAAATTTTTTGCATATCCAGAACTAAAATGATCCGAGAATCGTCATTAAATAGTTAAATTAAGTGTCGACATAGTTTGACGACGTCGCTTCATGATTAGCATGACAACAAGTTGCCGACATACTGCAAACATTGGCCCAACATTAGTCTGAAGATGGCCTAAAATTGTCTTTGGATAAAAGTTGCCTGACATAGTCTGGGCCAACATCGTGCCGTTTTAGACAACTGGTTTTTGACACATTGCTAACGTTGGCAGTATCTCGACATTGGCTAATAGTCATATTCTCATATATGTAGTCTTAAATAAGATTGTCATAAATTATTAAGTTATTTGTGAACTATATTTTTTTAGTTTAAATTACTTATAAATCATTAAGATTCAGATTAAGTTTAATTTAAATTTAATTCAATTTTTAATGTTTTATGAATTAAATATAATTCACTTTTAAATTTACATTATTATTTTTCGAATAACCATTAGTCATAATGAACAAATATTAAGAAAAGAATGCGCTTCTTGAACATACTTCGATATCCCATATACCTCATTATAATTATATAATTAGATAAAAATTATTGGAAAATTATTATAAAAATGATATTATTAAAACATATAAGGTAGTTGGCTCAGTAATCGTCATGTTAACCAAACGCTTGACTTTGCAAATTTATATTTTTCAGATTGAAAAATGAATTACTGTTATTTTAGGTTGTTTTTTATCAATTTTTTGTGATAAATAAAACGTCACTCTAAAATTCTTATATCTACTGTTGTTAAGAAAATCGTTCGTAAAAATTAGAAGGCGCAAATGTACGAGTTATAAATGCCGCCATAACAGTTTGCCCAATAATAGTCAGATATGTCCCACAAATATGTGTTTAACGATCGAATACACGAATGATGGAATGATGAGACGCATAAATTTATATATATATATATATA